ATTAAACTGTAATAATAACTTTTTTAATTTGAATTTAAAAAATTAAAATTGAAAAAATAAATTAAATAGTTTCAATGCGAGATGGCATGTCTTTATGCCTTTCGTTTTATTAATTGTTTTATAAAAAATTAACTCAATTAAAAAAATAAATTAAACTACAACATATCCATCATTCCTGAGTCAAACATATCACCTATATATTTCTTGACATCCTTCCTATCACGTTACCCATGTTATATATCAACTTTCGTCCAATTTTATAACTCAAATAACAGATGAACATTGACATTTTCAACTTTTTACCATAGGTTTTGACATACTTAATAATTAACAAGATGAAATCGGTTTTCAATTCAAATTACAAAGAAATTTAGCAATCGGTAGTACGATGCAGGGTATGGAGTTTCATTAACAAAAAATAAAGCAGAGAGCTCAGAATTTTTGTATGGTATAAGAAATGTAAGGTTCGTATGACTGTATTGCAAAAAAAAAAAGCGGAGGTCGTATTTCCCGCTTTAATTAAGTGTAATTAAATATTGTTGAAAGGGTGATACAGATTTTTCGACTGATTAGGTTTCAACTCGATGACGTCGCGTGGTATGGTATTTTAGTACTCACGTACTGTGATGTTAACATCGTGATATTAATTTCGTGATGATGAGACCTAAATGTGGATAATGTGGTTTTAATTTTAGCAGGGTGAAAAAGATGCTTTGTGTATTCGTTAATTAGTCACGTTTGAATACGTTTGAAGTTTGTGTTCTTTGTAAATCAAGAAGTGAGGGATTTGGTAGTACTCACATAGTTAATGCCGCGTAGTATTTATAGCAAAGGAGATCGTGGAGGAATGACCGTAGTGGAAATGGACAGCAGTGGAATCGGTTGTGGTGGAATCGGTAGTGGTAGAATCGGTTTTGTTGGAATCGGTAGTGGTGAAATCGGTAGTGATGTAATCGGTTGTGGTGGAATCGATAGTGGTGGAATCGGTTGTGGTGGAATCGTGTAATGGATTGGGAACTTGTGGAAAGACTGTGGTGGAATCGGTTGCGGTGGAATCGGTAGTGGTGGAATCGGTAGTGGTGGAATCGATAGTGGTGGAATCGGTTGTGGTGGAATCGTGTGGTGGATTGGGCACTTGTGGAAAGACTGTGGTGAAATCGATAGTGGTGGAATCGGTAGTGGTGGAATCGGTAGTGGTGGAATCGATAGTGGTGGAATCGATAGTGGTGGAATCGATAGTGGTGGAATCGGTTTTGTTGGAATCGGTAGTGGTGGAATCGTGTAGTGGATTGGGCACTTGTGGAAAGACTGTTGTGGAAAGACTGTGTTTGGAAGTCAGTAGTAACAGTTTAACATTCTTAACACTCTTAAGCAGGGGTCACCAAACTTTTCAGCCCGAGGGCCGCATTAACTATCAAATTTCAATTCGGGGGCCAGGTTCTTCTAGGCATGTCTTTGTTTTTTCTGGGCAAACTTCCTTAGCCATCACCAACAAACGATTTACCTTGTACAAAAAGATAAGAGGAGTTCGCGGGCCCCAACCGCGGGCCGTAGTTTGGAGACCCCTGCTCTTAAGCAACGGTGACCGGAAACTACGTAACGGAAAACTGCGCACACAAACATGCGCAAGGGAATTTCTTTTTTTTTTCTTCTTCAAATCGAGCATTTTATATTATTTAGAAATGAATAACAACATGTAGGCCTACATCGTTGGACAAGAAAACATTTTTTTCAACGAAATATGACTAGTGTGCTCGTATAACTAGTTTGTATTGCGTAACAAAATACATTCAATACTTTCTTGACATAAAACCCTAAAGGCTCTTCTTTTTGGAAAGAGAAAAAAAATTATTCTCAAAAAATATCCCAATCTCGCAAAAAAAAAAAAAAAAAAAAAAAAAATTAAAATTCTTTTTTTTTATTGCTCGAAATGTGAGTCCATGTACAACATCTTTTTTATATATTAAAAATATATATAAAAACATGTAAGAACAGTAACCCAACTCGGGTTCATTGTGTTGTATATTTATACTCAACTATATGTTTCATGTTCCGTTATATTAGAAGCCTTGTAACACCATGTTACCCAGCATGTTATGTCATCCTATTAATGTCAGTTCCTGTGCAGTACTAGGAAAATAAATAAATAAATAAATATATATATATATATATATATATATATATATATATATATATATATATATATATATATATATATACGAGAAAAATGGCCCGTTGAGGAAGGATACAAAAAAAGTCCGAAAGAAACACTGGTGTCGCGCTTAGCCACTACCCGAAGAATTGCATTAAAGAAATTGCAAGAAAACCACTTTTTAGATTAGACACATTAATTAGGCGGTAATTTTATTATAGAGTATCGATGAAGAAATTTCTTTTGAGTTAGGGAGGGGGGGGGGGGGCTCAGACGTTCTTACGCGGGGGTGGGGCTTCGCCCCTACCCGATGAATTGTATGAAAGAAACTCTTCACGCAAACCACTTAGATTAGACAAAATTTCCTTTTTATTCAATGTTTACTCGAGAATCAATGACGTCATATTACTGTGTGCACTCTCCGGCTTGAGATTATTTTCTACTCTATGCTAAATGTGGCGACGTCATACTTCGTTTTTCGAATTACTATGCATGTTTTAATTTGCTTGTCTTTTCTCTAGAGCGTTCTTGTCAGATAGATACACAGACAGCGAAACTATTAGTATTAATATAATATACGAGAAAAATGGCCCGTTGAGAAAGGGTACAACGGGCGCTAGGCTGATAGTGCTGTCTCTATCTCTAAAGTAAAACCACCCCCCCTACCCCCAACCCCCCCCCCCCCCCACACACCCCCACTCCCCCCACCACCCCACCACCCCCCACCCCAAAAAAAACATGTCTACCGTCCCATTCAACGAAATATAATTATATACTTTTTCCAGTGTCCGCCCCCTCCCCGAAAATTCTACCCCCGCCCCCGAAAATTTCAAGTAACCCCACCCCTCTCCGGGGAGGAAAAAGTCTGAAAGAAACACTGGTGTCGCGCTTAGCCACTACCCGAAGAATTGCATTAAAGAAATTGCAAGAAAACCACTTTTTAGATTAGACACATTAATTAGGCGGTAATTTTATTATAGAGTATCGATGAAGAAATTTCTTTTGAGTTAGGGAAAGGGGGGGGGGGGGTCAGACGTTCTTACGCGGGGGTGGGGCTTGCCCCTTCCCGAAGAATTGTATGAAAGAAACTCTTCACGCAAACCACTTAGATTAGACAAAATTGCCTTTTTATTCAATGTTTACTCGAGAATCAATGACGTCATATTACTGTGTGCACTCTCCGGCTTGAGATTATTTTCTACTATACGACGTCAAACTTCGTTTTTCGAATTACTGTGCATGTTTTGAATTTCCTTGTGTTTTCTCTAGAGCGTTCTTGTCAGATACATAGATAGATACACAGATAGATACACAGACAGCGAAACTATTATTATTAATATATATATATATATATATATATATATATATATACATATATATATATATATATATATATATATATATATATATATATATATGTGTGTGTGTAATAATTTCTTGTTTGTTCTCTTTTTCCGCTACTTGAAAAGCATTCCATTCTTGTATAAGGCAATTTTTTTTAAATTTTAGTTTTTCCAAAACGTTTTCGGCTAAAGTACCACTTAAAAAGCAAATCTCCCAACAACATTTCTCTATTTGTAAAATCTCAATTTAAACAGACAAGAAGAAATAAAAATGTTGGTGTCAGTGGAATATATGTAGACGTCACTTTAGAGGTATGTGTGTGGACGTCGATTTAGACTTTAGAGGTGTGTGTGTGGACGTCACTTTAGAGGTGTACGTGTGGACGTCAATATAAGACGTGTATGCGTGAAAGTCACTTTAGAGGTATATGTGTTGATGTCAATTTAAAAGATGTATGTGTGGACGTCACTGTAAAAGGTGTGTGTGTTGACGTCACTAAAAGAGGTGTATGTTGACGTCACTTTAAAAAATGTATGTGTGAACGTCACTGTAAGAAGTGGATGTGAGGACGTCATTGTATGAAGTGTGTGGGTGTACGTCACTGTAAGAGGTATATGTGTGTACGTCACTGTAAGAATAGTATATATGTAAGGTCACTACTGGTTATCTCCACTTTAATCTTATTACATATAATGTAACACTACCTCAGTGAGGATATGGTGTAATGATCACCCACTGAGGTGTAGTGTGTTAACCGGCTGACCATGAGGTTTAATGATCACCCACTGAGGTGTAATAATCACCTACTGAGGTGTAATGATCACCAATTAAGGTGGAATGTGTTCACTGGCTGCCCCTGAGGTGTAATGATCACCAATTAAGGTGGAGTGTGTTTACCGGCTGACCCTGAGGTGTAATGATCACCAATTAAGGTGGAGTGTGTTCACGGACTGCCCCTGAGAGACAACACAACCAATAACACTGCTAGCGTCTGGATCCTTGTTTTTTGCATGTAGAGAACTGTAACATCCAATACAATTGCAAGTACATAGATATATCTACAGGGTATATAGAACTCGAATTTAATGCCCATGTCAGCAACTTTCCTGGTCATCCGCAGCCTGGAGTTGGTATATCAAGGACACAGTCGCAAGAACCTAGAGTACCAGAGGTCACATGACATGGGAAACACAGTCCACCCAGTTTTAGTGGATAGGCCTACCTCACGGTAGGAAAAGTAAAGGCTGCTGTTCATAGTGCTGACGACATTATCTCTTCATATGCCGAGGTCAATGGATCGCTAGGTCTAAAGAGGAATCTTTAATTTGTTTACTTTATGTCATTAGTTTATGTAAAGCTTTAAATTTTAAAATATGAAGTAAAAAAAAACAACAACGCTTTTTCAGTTAAATTTACATTTATTTAAATAACTAACCTCTATGTTCATAACAGTTTTTTATTTGTATTTCAGTATATAGTGCCAGTAAGGATAAAAATAAAAACTCGGTACTGTATGCCAGTACGTATTGAACTGTTGGAACAAATGGAAGCCAGCTATCAGTAGGCGGTCTTTAAGCCCCAGCTCATCAAGCAGCCGCCACTTCTGTTGTCGGTGTAGTCCAGATAGTATGCGGTCCAGGTGTTTGCCACCACACACTGTTCAGTCGGCGCCCCTCCACCGCACTGAGAAGCGTCGTCACTCGCCTCCCATTTGTAGCACATATGCACGGCTTTCATCCAATACGGCGCGGTGTCAGGCACTTGGAGCTTCCATCGCATTTTGCAGCCTCCGCTCCGGCTTCCCGTATCGTCGAAGTACTTGGTCGTGTAACTGTTGATGCTAGCGCAGTATGTGTCGCCGGGGTTACCGCCGCACTGGTCCCAGTTGTTCTCCGCGTACCACTGATAGCAAATCTGCACGTCGTTGAACCAAGCTGGGTTGTTGGCGGATAAAATCGCCCATTGCATGTAGCATCCGCCAATTCTCCAGTCGGTCCAGTCGTAGTACCAAGGCGTCATAGAGTTAGCTATGGCACAACGGTAATTTCCCCAATCTCCTCCATTACACTGGGCTGACGTCCACGATGCCTCCCAGTACAAACAGACTTTAGTGTTGGCCACAAACCAGTTGGGTACTGTAATATACTCTTCTAAGTCCTTGGCTAAAGCATCAACCTCGGCATCGTCGATTTGTTTTTTGCTCTTCAGCGCTGCGACTCGATCTCGAAGGCCGTTGATGACTGGGTTATCGGACTTCGCTCTGGCTCCATAAATTAAAGATTGCATTTCCCCAATGTAGGCTTTCAACAAGCGATTCTTCACAGCGCGTTCCATAGAAGTTCTCTTTGTTTCGTCACTAATTAAGTCGCTAATTGGCTTCAGTTTACCAGAAAATAACCAGGGGTCACTCTCGACTGTCGGCTGCCATTTTGAGAGACCTTCAGTACCTAGGACATTGGTGTCGCCTCCGTAGTACTTGATAGTGGTCTTAGAATTTGATGTAAACGTTTCATCAACATTCCCAGTCGCTGACGATCCCCCCACGCTTACGGAAACCATTTTCGAGTACGAAGCTTTGGCGTTCGCTTCGATCTCGTTCTCTGTCTTAGTCATAACGTAATCTTTCTTTGTCTCAAAAACCATTCGAATGAAACCACCAAAATTAGCAGAGGTAAAATAATGCGTGCCGTAGGTATCAATAAACTTATTGTACGCAGTAGGGTTGCTTTCGAAGGTACCAGTCAGGGTAGTATCTACGTACGCTTGAGCAAAACTATCCAGCCCTAATTTTTCCGGCGGGTTAACGTCTGCTCGTGTTGCAGCAGCGAATGCCGTGACCTCAGAGATGTACCTGGAGGAGTTGGTGATGGAGTTCTGCATCTTCTTGTAGCTGAAGCTGCCGGAGAACGCGTACGTGCCCGTGTCCGCCTCAAGACCGACGCTGGCGCTCATGGCGTTTCTGACGTCACTGTAGGAGGTGTAGGTGTGGGCTTCAGACGACAGCCAGCCCCCGGGAACAGACGTCATTTGCCAGACCTGCGCGGGACATGGAACAAGACATACATTAAATAAACCGGGAGTGATCTCCCTAAACTTTCTCGAATATCTTTATACTACTAAAACTCAAGTTTGTTTACATGTTTGAATATTTATTTTTTTGTTTGTCTGATTTGGTACTGTAAGGAAACTGCTCTATATGGGGGGCTGTAAAATAGTATGTAGGTAGAGAATAATTTTTTATTGCAGACAGACTGTTAATCACACATTTATTTAAAGACGTTAATTAATTTATTGATTTATTCATAGGTAGATTAACCACATTAATTTTAAAGTTTTAGAACAATGGCTAAACTTTGACTGAATAGTGACGTTTGATAACTCATTTTTTGTTTGTTTGTTTGTTTGATTTGTTATTGGGGAGAATCTGCATTATGTGTAGAGCTGTAAAATAGGATTTTGGGTGGTAAATATTGTTCCTCCTTAAACAAACTGTTAATTACAAACTATTTTAAAGCCGTTAATTTAATTTATTGATATATTCATTGGTAGATTAACCACATTAATTATAACAGTTTAGAACAATAAGTTTAGTAATAGTAAAAAGTTTATTCTTAAAACAATGTTTTCAATTATTTTTTCTTAAGGCCAATATGTGAATGATAAGGTTGACTATCAGGACCTCGCGGGGCACAGGGTAGGTGAAGTAGAGTTCACCTGTTTCTATGTTCTCAGCATATGAAGGGATAGTGTAGTCAGAGCCATGCTCGGCCGGAATTTTTTTTTTTAAAATGCAAACATGTCTGAGACTTGGCGGGGCACTCCGCAGGTGAAGTAGAGTTTAGTGGAGTTTTTAAAATATAAAAAGCGTCTTTTTGAATGTAGGGTCTGGTTATTTTGGGATGATAAGTGCTGGCATCCCCGAAACCCACAGTTATCTAACTAGATAACGGGTAGTCTAGTTCTTATATAAAACAACAGGGTATGGGAACTCGGGATATAGACATGTTTTTTATCCATTTTAAATACTTAAACTTTTTAAAATAGAATAAAATCTCGCAATATTATTAGTACTTTGTAAATTTGCATGCGTGTTTTGAGAAATTGAGTACCGTTACAGCTAGGTTGATGAAATTTCATACATAAGTATTTTATCAAAATCGTAGATCCGTATCAACTTTTGAGCGATTTCCGATAACCGGAAGTTGTACTTAGTTTTTACTTTGACTTTTTCAAAAGCCTATAACTTGAGTACTATTTCAGATAGATAAATGAAATTTCACATGTAAGTAAACGATCTAATTTTCTACCTTCCGTCAAATTTTAAGTAATTTTCGTTTACTGGAAGTACTCATTTACGCTATTTCAGATTTCTCAAAAACTAATGTAAATTTACAGAGTCATAATAACATGTCTTAAAGTTTAAAGTAAATTGCATAAAGACAAACTCGATTGTTATTTCTGATCTTCAGGGTTTTCATTAGTCGGACTTTTATTTATCAAGACTACTTAATGTGTGGGCATAGTTCGGACCACACTATCTCTTCATATGCCGAGGTCACATAAACAAGTGAACTCTACTTCACTTGCCCTAGAGACCATCTGGTTTAAAAAGGGCACTTTACTACTACTTTACTTGCTTAATGTAATGCTGTAAAAGTTTACTCTGTGTAGGCTACATTGTAAATTTTTGTTTTGATGGGGTTTAGTAACTGTTACATTTTCGTGTGCTAAGGAATTTTCTTAGCATATGAATACTTCAAATTTGATTACATTTAAGCATTGTTAATATTTTTTTAAAAATATTTTAACTTGAATTTTTAAACCTTTCTCTTGCTCATCTATATATATAATTCTCTTCTGGGAGCCGTTAGAAAACAAGCTGCAAGCGCCTCCTTGCAGTCCCCTCTCTTTCTCTCTATCACTATCACTACCACCCCCACCCCACCCCCACATTGTCTGGTGAGCGGTGTTCACTCTAAATGTTTACAAAGCTAAATGTTTACAAATCGCAGAGCCGTAGAGCCGGGTTTCTATTAGGGGCAGATAATTTGGTTCGATTTTAAACTTACAGGAGGTAACTAAGAAATAACTAAGAGGAGGCTGCTTTCACGGGGGGGGGGGGGGGTGTAGGGTCGGGGTTAGGGTTTTAAAGCAAATATTTTCAGTGGCAGCTTTGGTACTGTCGAATTCACAAATTATGAATTACTGAAAAGTAGAAAATAAAACAACTAAATAGCGGCGTATGATACGCTGTGGGTCGGCTCGTTTTAAATAAAACACCTTTACAGATCAAGGTCCACACGATACCTACCTGGTCAGGTAGTTCATACACGGTACCCTTAGCACTCTTGTACTGTTTTCCTTTGTCGCAGGTGATGGGGATGACGGGACTCATGACTCCATCATCACCGACAACATCGATGGGCAGCAGGTCCAGTTTCGATACGTCCACACCACGGACCATTTTAGACAGGCCTGGAGGTAAATTGGTGCATTCTTTCGCGTCTGTGTGTGAGGCCAGCACAACCAACAACACGGGTATCACGTGATACATAGTCTCAACCTTCTGACGATAGAAAAGAAGTCGATAGAATTACTTGTATTCTAGACTTCTTTGAAGATAAAAAAAGCGTCAACTAATTCATTTTATGGGTTGTATTTAACAAGACTATTTAATGTAATGCTGTAATTTAATCCCTGGACTTGTAGACGCTCTACAGATTTTAACCCGGATTGGAACTTCTGATTTCCGGGGTAGGAGTCCAGCGCTCTTCCTCTAGGCTACGCCGTCGCACTTTAAAAAAGCTTTGCATTAAGTAAGGTAACAACTCGCGCGATTTTGCATTATGCACAGTTGCCTTAAAGCGCATTCTTAGATTTCTGGATGTAATATGTGTTAACTATCTAGAATAAACAAAATGTCAGCGTTATTTAAATGTATTGAGTAGTCACAAATGCTAGGCGTTGCTTCATCCTTAGGTAGCCATGTCCAAATTTTTAAACGTTAACTCAAATGTACTAAATTTAACGTTTGTGGCAAAACCACTCATATTTTTGAGGAAACACATAGAGGCAAGTATTTCTTAGACTATGCTTTATAAGTTTTTTTTATAAATCTGATATAGAGTAAAGTGTCCCTTCCAATAGCCGGAAATGGTTCAAACATGTTTTTAAAAAATGGTACTGCAGTTAATGGCACTTCAGAAAACAGGTATTTAACAAAGTAAATCATTAGGACTTGGAGAATAAAAATAAAACGATATAATTAAAAAGTATTCGATCTTGAACTACAATATAAAATTTCATCTACGTCACAGAAACAGTACTCACGTTATCATATTACCACTGAAATAAATTAAAGTACCAATTTCGGTTTTTAGAAATTGTTCAAAAAATGTTAGAAACCTGCTCATGCAATTTAATGCTTATTTTTTAAATTTCGTCCACCTAATTGAAGCGGTGCACAAGTGATCGGCATTTGAGAAACGAGAAATAGAGTAAGTACCACTTCTTGTTTCCATACATTCCTCAAAATGCTAAACCGAACGATAAATGATATTTGTAATTAATAAATGAAAGTCAATCTCTGTGAAAAGGCAATCACGGATAAACATTTCTGCTAATCTGGTATTTTTCTAGGTGCCAACGGTACCCAAGGTATTTTGTTACCAATTACATGTGTGGTCTGTTTATTAAAGTGGTCGATCTAATAACACAATTTTATAATGTATAGTTTATATAAACCTGGGTCAGTCTAGGTCGATTTTCGGTTATTTGTAAACACAATTTTTACTAGAGCTATAATTTTCTCGTAGGTTTGAGAGTAGGTGCTTTCAGAAACTTGCCTGCAAGTATTAAAGCATTAAAAGTCTACGTAATCATTCTAAATTTTTGAAAAAAATCTTTTTAAAAATATGGCAAGCGGTAAATGTATAGTTACATTTGTAAAATTTTAAGCCGTTTTGGGAACCATCGATTACTTTCATTTTTATATTTTTGTATCAAATATAAGCGGTTGAGAAGCTGTTTAGAATTATTTTATCAATTTAAATATTTTCAAAAACTGCCCTCAACTCCTCCTTGACGTCAAACGGAGTGGCCAGGGAAAGTAAAACAACAAAAGAACAATTGTTTTCCAAGATAAAAATACACGATAGTGATCTATGGTGTATAGAGTAGTATTGTATTTATATAAAACTAGGCATACTGCCTAGCTTCGCTTAGGTTTTCAAAAACATTTGAGAATTTGAGTACTTGATGATTTTGTGATGGATGAGCTGTGGAGTGCTTAAATTTAAACAGTAATGCTCATTTTAGATAAGACTAGACTACCTGTCATCCGTTGGATAACTCTGGGTTTCGGGGGTCATCCATAAAAAACATCACGTCTGTGACTCAGAGGCGTAGCGACCCTTCCCGGCGCCCGGGGACAAACTTTTCGATTTGAACCCCCCCCCCCCCCCCCGCAAGATTTCGATTTGCACCCCCCCCCTCCCCAAACTTTTGATGTGCACCCCCCTCAAGATTTTCATTTTCACCCCCCCCCCCCCTCAAACTTTCGATTTGCACCCCCCTCAACCTTTCAATTTATTTTTCCAACCCCCTAAAGGTCGGTGCCCGGGGAAATATGTCGTATCCCCTCACTACGCTACTGCAGTGTCACTTATCGTCACAAAAAAACCAGACCCCACATTCAAAAATATGTTTTTTATCTTTTAAAAACACCGAAAACACCGATTTCAGACCATCCCTTCATATACTGACGTCACAGGTGACCTACTCTACTTCACCTGCCCAGTGTCCCGCCAAGTCTCAGACAACATGTTTTTATCGTTGTAAAAACGATTCCAGCCGAGCATGTCTCACTAACGTATTAGTCTAGAAACTGTGCCACCCGCATGAGAGCCGATTAAGCTAACAACTTTGCTATTTACTCGTGACGTCACAGATGAATTTTTATACTATACTTTAATACTTTGAGTCTCCTTATGCAACTTGATTTACGCGCATAGATCTAGATCTAAGTCTAGTAGTAGTAACTTTCAAATTAAATTTTATCTCAAATTAGCCAAACAAAGATTTATATAAAATAAAGAAGGTCTGAAATTATCTAGATCATAGATAGAATTATCTAGATCTAGATTCTACGACTCGTTTGCTTAAGTCTTAAGTCTAGTTGCGTAACGCTTGCTAGATCTAGATCTAGAATCTAGAAATTCTAGATCTAGATTCTAGAATCTAGATCTAGATAGATAAATCACTAAGATTTATATCAAGTATTTAAGGACTAAAAATGTATAATGATTATAAAATGGATTATATTTTTATTTAATTAATCTTTGGTATGTATCTAACTAATCTTTTGTTTGATCTAGATTCTAGATTTAGATCTATAAATAACTTGCTTGGCCACAAGATATTATTAGATCTATAAATAACTTCCTTGCACAGATTGTAGAGCTAGAGAAATTTATTGTAAAACTAAATGAAAAAGACAGATGAAAATTTATATAAGTGTTGGAACGTAATAAAAACAGCAAACGAACGTATTGTTAAAGTTATGGCCGACAGAAAATTAGATTTAGAACGCGTTAAACTTTTGAATGGGCCTATGATGGAAGCCGCCATTTTATTGTACTAAAATATAAACAAAAAGATGTGACGTCACGGTTCCGTCGAGTCTAGTGGTTTTTCTAATCATTTTTTAAAAAATGTGGTTAATCTACCTATGAATAAATCAATAAATTAATTAACGTCTTTAACTAAATGTGTGATTAACAGTCTGTCTGCAATCAAAAATTGTTCTCTACCTACATACTATTTTACAGCCCCACATATCGAGCAATTTCCTTACAGTAAGAAATCAGACAAACAAATAAATATTCTAACATGTAAACAAAGTTGAGTTTTAGTAGTATAATAGATAGATGTTGTTGTTCAACATCCGTTTCCAGAGAATATATTTGAAAGTACGCAATGTATGACTAAAATGGAATTAGAACTACAGAGGTTCCATGAACAATATATCTCATAATTTATATTACATTGACTTTTAAAATTATTTTTTTAATTTAATTAGGATACGTAGCTTAATTATCAACTTAATTTTTACTACGGCAAATGCTATACTTTGTCAATTTCTGTTTCTGTTTAAAATAGTATACAATTATTTGAAATATAATTATTTTAAAAAGGTTACCTCCCTTGGAAATGGACAGAATGACGTATGTCTTTGTTTACTTTTTTAACAAACAGTTGCTATGCTTATATAAGAAAATACGATATCTGAACATATTTAACGACTACAATGGCTTTTTCCGACGGGAATAAAGGTTTTTTGTTACCCTCCAGGGTCGGTCTACGACCTCAAATAATATTAAGGGGATCGTTCGTCAATTTATTTATATATATCTCATATATGGAGAATTTCACTCGCAGTCATCTTTTAGCCCTGGTCGAGGGCTTTCAGTCTGACCAACAGTTTTTCCATACGGCCTAGTCTACTGTAGAAGTGTATGCAAAACATTATCATGATGTACAGAGGTTAAGTAACCTAAAAATTGTGCTGAAAATTCCCTGTTTTTCCCATAAAATACAAATACTGAGTTTAAGTACCCTAAAATTCGCGTTGAAATGACCCTCTGTTCTTCCCTTAAAATACAAAGATTATATAGGGAAATACAATTGGTCAGTTTTGACCCCTTTACGAAATTTTCCCAGATATTCCGAGTTGTTTGTGACCCATTTCCCGATTTTTCCCGGACATGGCGAGTTTTTTGTGACACTCCAAAGCGATCTCCTACCACCTCACAAAATGTCAAGGGGGGTCGTCGTCTGAAAGTTTTTTTCGTAATAGAGCTTATATACAGTGAATTTCACTCGCGGTCACTTTTTTAGCCTTCTTCAAGGGCTTTGAGTGAAACCGACAGGTTTGTTCTACGGCCAAGCCATTTACCTATAAGCATGCCAAAAATTAGCCAGATGTAAAGAGGGTAAATGCACTAAATCCGTTTTGAAATTACCCTCTGTTTTTCCCATAAAATACAAAGATTATATAGGGAAATACGACTGGTCAGTTTTGACCCATTTCCCGGTCATTGCGAGTTTTTTGTGACACCCCTAGTCATTCTCCTACCACCTCACAATATTTCAAGGGGGGTCGTCGATGGAATTTTTTTTTCGTAATATAGCCCATATTAGGCGCCGGTCAGTCGAGGTCAGTTTTGACCCCCTCTCCGCGGAATTTTCGGCCAACCGTCACCGGCCCTCGTATTCTATCGCCCCAACGCATCATCGTGCCAAATTTGACGCGCCTGCGGCGCCGGGAAATACCCTATCGGGCACCTGACCACTTTGCTTTATATATATATAGATTATATAACACCCCCAATCACCACTACACCTTGACTCTACTAATCCAAATTAAAAATAAATTTGTTTGCTAAATTATCATTATATTACTAGTAATTATTTCTTTGACTATTAATTACTGGCCTTAATGAAACAAGAAGTAATTTTGTAATCCAAATAAAAAATAAATTTGTTTGCTAAATTATCATTATGCATTATATTACTAGTAATTATTGCGTTGACTATTATTTACTAGCCTTAATGAAACCAGAAGTAATTTTGTACTTATTACACACGTTATAAAATATTCAATTTTGGTTCAATTTTGGTTAAAAAAATATTCTCTCTGGTAACAATAATTTGAAACAATTTGAAACAAGCTTTTCAAGTTTATTAAGCTGTGATTTACATAGAGGCGAAAAGTGCTCACTTTGTTTTTATTTGGTAGACAAAATTTATCAAAATTTATGCCGTTTCATTTTTATAGTATGATGCTTTGCCGAGGACGTAAAAAAAATCTAAACTGAAATTTTAAGTTTAAAAAAGTATATTTACCATTTTGATTTTTGAACCACTCAAGCAGTAGTGTGATACACGTGAGTCGTTAAAAATGACCTCGAAACAAGTTGCTTATATAATCAAAGATGATGTATTAAAAACAAATTTACATCTTTAAAAAAATATTACGGGGGTATGTGGGTTAAGCGTTGGCGTGGGACGAAAAAAGGGGGAAAAAATCGATGGCTGAATACTAAACTGCAAAATGATTGTGGTGTTTAGATTAAATTTTTAACAATGCTGACACATATAGATTGTAAAACAATTGAAAACGCCAGCAACTAAACGTCACATTAGGTATAGACTTTAGTGTACATTTCAGATATGACGACATAGACATAGACATAGACATAGACATAGACATAGACTTAGACATAGACATAGACATAGACATAGATATAGACGTAGACGTAGACGTAGACGCAGACGTAGACGCAGACGCAGACGCAGACGCAGACGCAGACGCAGACGCAGACACAGACGTAGACGCAGACGCAGACGCAGACTCAGACGCAGACTCAGACTCAGACGCAGACTCAGACGCAGACGCAGACGTAGACGTAGAAATAGACGTAGACGTAGACGTAGACGTAGACGTAGACGTAGACATAGACATAGACATAGACATAGACATAGACATAGACATAGACATAGACATAGACATAGACATAGACATAGACATAGACATAGACATAGACATAGACATAGACATAGACATAGACATAGACATAGACATAGACATAGACATAGACATAGACATAGACATAGACATAGACATAGACATAGACATAGACATAGACATAGACATAGACATAGACATAGACATAGACATAGACATAGACATAGACATAGACATAGACATAGACATAGACATAGACATAGACATAGACATAGACATAGACATAGACATAGACATAGACATAGACATAGACATAGACATAGACATAGACATAGACATAGACATAGACATAGACATAGACATAGACATAGACATAGACATAGACATAGACATAGACATAGACATAGACATAGACATAGACATAGACATAGACATAGACATAGACATAGACATAGACATAGACATAGACATAGACATAGACATAGACATAGACATAGACATAGACATAGACATAGACATAGACATAGACATAGACATAGACATAGACATAGACATAGACATAGACATAGACATAGACATAGACATAGACATAGACATAGACATAGACATAGACATAGACATAGACATAGACATAGACATAGACATAGACATAGACATAGACATAGACATAGACATAGACATAGACATAGACATAGACATAGACATAGACATAGACATAGACATAGACATAGACATAGACATAGACATAGACATAGACATAGACATAGACATAGACATAGACATAGACATAGACATAGACATAGACATAGACATAGACATAGACATAGACATAGACATAGACATAGACATAGACATAGACATAGACATAGACATAGACATAGACATAGACATAGACATATTTTATTGAATGAATTTCATTGTAAATTATGAGTGTGGGTGCTTAAAGTGAGAAAGGACTGAACTAACATAAAATATTTGATTGTGTCTATGAAGTTCAAAGCCTTTCAAATGTGAAATTAAAAAGCGGAAAGTATTAAAAAAAATAAAGGAACAAAACGTTAATAAATCGTTAACAAGAGCTGTGCCTATTTTATCTGTTTCATCGCTGAATCGGCAACATTCTGCTGTCATGAATCACCATCAAACCTGTGTGACGGGAACAGATCGGTTTGATTCTGGTGTTAATAAACACATGGTCACACGTGACATCTACCTCCACGTGACGTGACATCTACCACCAACTGGTGTGAGATCTGCCACCACTTGACGTGACATCTACCTCCACGTGACTTGACATCTTCCACCAACTGACGTGACATCTACCTCTAATATACGTGACATCTACCACCACGTGATGTGACATCTACCACCAACTGGTGTGAGATCTGCCACCACTTGACGTGACATCTACCACCACGTGACTTGACATCTTCCACCAACTGACGTGACATCTACCTCTAATATACGTGACATCTACCACCACGTGATGTGACATCTTCCACCAACTGGCGTGACATCTGCCACCAAATGACATGACATCATCCACCAACTGACTTGACATCTACTACCAACTGACGTGACAATTACAGGAAGCTGACGTGACATCTACCACCAATCGACGTGACACCTACCACCAAATGACGTGACGTATATCGACAAAAGGAGTGTGTTCCTTAATGTAGATTTAATTGAGCTTGAATATGCCGGTGTCAAAAGAGTAAGTGGACTGGCAAATAAGTAGGAAAAAACTGGGGGCTTAACGGACGACAGGTTTTTTTTTTTAAACGTATGTCATAGGTCAAATTTGTCATGTGAGCAAAAACCTGTCCTGTTAGTTGAAACAGCGGTTGTATCTGTTTTGTTAGTAGAAACAGCGGTTTTATCTATTTTGTTAGTGGAAATAGCGGTTGTATCTGTTTTGTTAGTAGAAACAGCGGTTGTATCTGTTTTGTTAGTAGAAACAGCGGGTGTATCTTTTTTGTTAGTAGAAACAGCGGTTGTATCTGTTTTGTTAGTGGAAATAGCGGTTGTATCTGTTTTTGTAAGTAGAAACAGCGGTTGTATCTATTTTGTTAGTAGAAACAGCGGTTGTATCTGTTTTGTTAGTAGAAACAGCGGTTGTATCCGTTATTTTAGTCCGAACAGCGATTTTAGTTGGACAAAAGGCAACGTAATAATAGCTTAAACAGAAGAATCTTTTAATGGACTGGTTTCAAATTTGTTGTGCTAATACTTCGAAAAGTGACAAGCAATAGAGTCGTGAATAGACAGTGCATTCGATATAGCTGAAATAACCACCTTATTGCTAGACTAAAAGCTATAAATTTTATTTGTTTTTAAATTTATATGTACATGTATACATATAAATGAAACAGACCAAGGGAGGTAACCTACTTTTTGTTATTAAAAATAAAAACAATAGATAAAATTCAAAGATTAAATTTTTAACATTTATTATCCAGCGTGCTGTAAGTACATTATATGCTCGTAACATTATGCGGGAAATTTTTATAAAATTTGATAAAAATATATCTTTATTTTTTAAATTTAATTTAAATAAACTTAGCAGTTTACATATTTTTATTTAAATATAAAATTAAAGTGACTTGTTACTGACGTTGGGAAGGTCGGTAACTAGTATTTATAAAACAGCATTAATTAAATGGAATCTCCCATCTTTCTCTTTCATCAAACTTCTACCTGTGACCTGTAACTTCTACCTGTGACCTGTAACTTCTACCTGTGACCTGTAACTTCTACCTGTGACCTGTAACTTCTATCAGTGTCCTCTAACTTCTACCTGTAACGTCTATCTTTAACGTCTACCTGTAACTTCTACCTGTAACTTTTACCTGTAACTTCTACCTGTAACTTCTACCTGTAACTTCTACCTGTAACTTCTACCTGTAACTTTTACCTGTAACTTCTACCTGTAACTTCTACCTGTAACTTCTACCTGTAATTTTTACCTGTAACTTCTACCTGTAACTTCTACCTGTAACTTCTACCTGTAACTTTTACCTGTAACTTTTACCTGTAACTTTTACCTGTAACTTTTACCTGTAACTTCTACCTGTAACTTCTACCTGTTACCTGTAACTTCTACCTGTAGCAACCATACAACGCTTAGTTGACGTGTACTTGCATGAATGTAACAGTAAAAATATCACGTGCCTTTTGTCACGTGGGCTGTCCGCCCAAGCACAAGCGCACAACTCTGTCATGACTGTCCTAAATCAACCTCGACACAGTTACGTCCCTTGGCTCTGTCTAAATCAACGCAATGAGAAGCTGGCTTTGGGTTGAAATCAAGTCTCATGGGTAAAAGAAATACGGGGAGTGGATCGGGATAAGGGGGGGGGAATATATTCTTGACCGATTTATATATTTCTGTAAAAAGTTTTATAATAATTTTTTTTAAATTTTAAATTTGAAAAATGGTTAAAGTTTAATATACCAAGCTGAAAGCCAGTATTACATTATCTATCGTTGCTTAAGACAAAGACTAATTGTTAGTTGGTGTTTAAGCTGGTGTATACAATAACGAGTTACACCAACACATTTACACGGTTTTTCCCAAACAGAAATATTTAGACCCACCTACGCTAGCACGTATAAAGTATTATCATTTTCAATTTTAAAAAATCAGAGGCGTTAGCTGTGGGGGTGTTAATTGAAGGGATGGGGGGGGGGGTGGTGTTAGAACCCTACAGGATTCTCCAAACTAAGTTGCTAAGGGGTCGTCAATAAATGACGTCACACTCGTAGGGGGGAGGGGGTCCGTAATTTAGTGACGGTGTGTGATGAGGGGGAGGGGGGGGGGCTCAAATGGTGTGACGTCACACTTTTGCATTGTAAAAAAACAATGTTAGATAAAGAGTTCTAGTCGTTATTTCGCGTTTTAGAAAACTGTTTTAATAAATTGTATTAGGAATTGATACTCTTTGTTGACGGAGTTCAGACAAGATTTTGGAAAAATATCGACGTTTTAAGAAAAATTCAACAGCAATTTTGATGGAGGTTGTAGGCTGACGTGTGACGTCATTTTAGGGAGGGGGGGTCCTGGCTTTTTGTGACGACGTGTGACGGGGGGGGGGGGGGGGGGGTAAGAATCGTCAAAAAAAGCGTGACGTCATTTATGGATGACCCCCCTATCATTAATTAATTTGGAGTTAAAGGCGACTCGCCCCTGCCAATGTTTAATGCGTTTTTATATATTTGAAACCTATATATATCCTATATATTTATATGTAGGTAGCCTGTATAATATATATATATATATATATATATATATATATATATATATATATATATATACATATATATGTATATATATATATATATATATATATATATATATATATATATATATATATATATATATATATATATATATATATATATATATATATAT